AGGTCCTGGTTAGTCCCAAAGGTGGTCTTTCAAAAAGCAAGTGGAGTTTAATTTTTCTTGAAGACATTCATGAAATCACATTACTTACATGCTTTGTGTTCCCTACCCCACCCCATACTTGCTTATATGAATTTGGATTTAATCAGGATTGACCGGAATGAGCCAATCCATTGAAAAGACCTGGAACCTAAAATGCAGCCTAATAACAAACATTGAGCCCTTTCTCTAACATGTGGTTCAAAGTGTTCTTCTGCTTTGGAGTAAAATACTAGCCAGTTTTTTTTTTTTTTGTAAGGTGGGATTCAAAGCTGCCTTATGGCAAGTCAGATTGTTAGGGCTGCTCACAGTTTACCTTCCTCTTCATAACTTGGGAGATCTGAAAGGGATCTGCATGAACCCATCAGAGAAGATTCAAAATCTTCTCTTCGTGTCTAGGTCCCTAGAATACATTGTAGCCTCCGTGTTTTAAGAGTGGAAAACCTCTAAGACCTTCAGTGTTCAATTATTTTATGAAAAAGGAATGAAAATTTGAATTAAAAAAAAAAAGAATCCACCGAGAATGCTCCCACCAACACTGACAGGGCAAGCTACTAATATATAAACAGAGAGCAAAGCCCATTCTCTTCTAGCACTGATGATGGTACCTAGTTGGGTAATGAAATGTCTGCAAGAAAGCAACCAAGCTCAGAGAGCACCAAGGACCCCACAATCATCCTCCCCCTCCTTTTCCTCCCCCCCCCTGCAAATCCCATTTTCTTCTAGCACTGATGATGGTACCTAGATGGGTAATGAAATGTCTGCAAGAAAGCAACCAAGCTCAGAGAGCACGAAGGATCCCACGGAATGAAAACAGTTTTCTTTGTTCCAAGGAAAAAACACTCAACTTGCTACCTCTAAAATATTTCAGAAACCTCCACTGCCAGCAGTGGACGGGAACTCGGAATGTTTGGCAAGTTGTAATTCTTTGGCTTAGTTCACAAGTTCTCTCCTATACCATAGGATATCATTCTACCTATAACTACATCCTGTAGTATAAAATATGACTCTACATAATTCCGGAAGCTGCATAAAAGTTTGTGTCCAAACATATCTGCAAACCTAACCTTGGGAGTCTCGTGTAATAGATCAAACGGTTCTTCACGTTTCTGATTTTAAAATGCCTGTTAAAAAGAAAAGAAAAGAGCTGGGCTTTGGAGACAGATGCTTTTCTGGATCAGAGTAAGAAGAACACATGCCTTACAGAATTTAAATCTTGGCTCGAGGTCCCTAGGGATCCAAACAGATCTGCTCAGTGGAGTTTGGACATCTTTGCTTGGAACTGTAGGTTCAACTTTATGGAAACCCTGTTGTGTGACAGCAGAAAGAGGAGGTTTGTGTGAAATAACATAATAAATAACACTTAGAAACCTCTTTGGAAGTACAGAGCTATTCTTAAGATCCTACACTTAGTTACTGGGAATTCAGGCCACTGTTTTCAGCACCATGGTGAAATCAGAACTGGAAATCAGCTTCCAAGCCATGAAAATGTGGATGGATATTGGGTTGAGTTTGCTGCAGTGGTGGGATTCAAATAATTTAACAACCGGTTCTCTGCCCTAATGAACAGCTGGGTAGGAGGGGCTCAGTGGTCATGTGACTAGGTGGGAGTGGCCAACTCAACGTCACTCAGGTCGAATGGGCACTTCGCCTTAGCTATTACAATGTAATAATGGTTAACCGGAGAGGCAGTTTCTGTAAGCAGGGCAATAAAAATTAGGCTAGAAACAACACCAGAATGTTTCCTTCCTGTCTTCCTTATAGGATTAGCCATGTAAAGTGGAGAAAAGATAAAATGAGATTTCTTCCAACAACTAGTTCTCTGAATTGCTTAAAAAGTTAACAACTGGTTCTCCTGAATAGGTGCGAACTGGCTGAATCCCACCACTGGTTTGGTGATGGCAAGCAGATGGCATCATGTTTTTTTCCCCTAAGCTGGGACTGGCTTAGAAACAAGCCAAGGATTCTGGTTTGGCTATGACGGTAAACAAACCTCAGCTGGAGCCATCTGTAGTTCTTCATTGTCATCTGTCAACATTAGCCAAGACAGAATAAGGTTGAAGAACTGTCTGGACACAGTCACTGTGGACACTTCCATTCAAAGATCACGGTTGAAACTGAAATACATTTTGCTCCCACCACCCCGTTCAGCGAAGATTCACAACCCCAACTCAGCATCCGAAAATCAATTTCAAAAGGGCAAACATCTGTAAATTCTTCCCTCGCTTCGTGGTGTTTCTTTTTCAGCACAAACAAAATAAATTAATTTCAACATCCAAGAAGAGAAAATATTAAATCAAGAGCAATAGAAGTGGGGGGAAGGCACAAAGCTAATTTGGGTCCTTCGAGATATATGCCTCTCCCAGCGGAATATATTATAAATATACTGCATAATATACTATAAATCTCTGAATCCTCCTATATATGTGTTGAACACGCCTTTGCTGTCAATCAAAGTGGGGAGAAGTAGAAAATATTCAGAATCTGGTCCCCAAAGTGCTTTTTCAAGAGGCAACTGGACTCTCTTGTTTTTCTTGGAAGCTTCAGAATCTGGGGAAGGGAATGAGGGGGCCAGAAGTGGGTTTCTGCTGGTTCGGCCCAGATTGGGTGAACCGGTAGTGGTGGCGGTGAGAGGCTCCGCCCACCCGCCTGGACGAGGAAACCGGTAGTAAAATAAATTGAAACCCACCACTGGAGGGGATACATTAAAGATCTGGTCCCAGCAGGGAAAGGGTTAGCCCAGAATAGGGATCTACCACTCATGATCATGGCTAAATACAGATATGTGGGCGAAGAAGTATATTCTATAGAAAACGCCACCGGTCCTTTGCATGCAATGTGGATTTTTTAAAAGATGTGCAGCCCATCTGGGAGGCATGCCACAATAAATAGGACATATAAAAAGTTTGCCTTTTCTTCGTTGAAAAGCATGCTCCCTGCACCCCATCTTGAGGGAGCCAGCAGGCTGTTGTTATTTTCCCCAGAATGCCTTCTCTGTTCTGCAGACCCCCTCCCCCCAAGGGCATTCTGGGCAATTATGACAGCAAGGGACAGTCAACCATCTCAGGAAATTCTCTCTCCTTTTAGCCAAAGGTAAAGGTTCCCCTTGGACATATGTGCTAGTCATTACTGACTCTAGGGGGCAGTGCTCACCTCTGTTTTATTAAAGCCGAAGAGCCAGTGCTGTCCGAAGACGTCTCCGTGGTCATGTGGCTGGCATGACTCAATGCCGAAGGCACACGGAACGCTGTTCCCTTCCCACCAAAAGTGGTCCCTATTTTTCTACTTGCATCTTTTTTACGGGCTTTCGAACTGCTAGGTTGGCAGAAGCTGGGACAAGTAACGGGAGCTCACTCTGTTATGTGGCGCTAGGGATTCAAACCGCTGAACTGCCAACCTTTCTAACCGACAAATTCAGCCTCTTAGCCACTGAAGGAAAGTGCTATATAAAAGTTTTAAGAGACAATCTGTGCACTTAGGGACTTTAGTGAGTGGCGTGTGAAAAGCAAAGATTTCATTCCAAACTTTCCGGATTTTCTGTTTTGCCACTTACAAATAGGGTCCCCTGTCTTAGCAGAGGGTTGGACTAGAAGACCTCCAAGGTCCCTTCCAACTCTGTTATTCTGTTAATGGAATCTTTCTGAGATTTTCCTCCAGTGCTACAAAGCATACCCTACAATTCTTTCCTGTGATAAATTGGGCTACTTTCTCTCCGTCTGATTCTTGTAAAGCAAACTTATTCTCCCCGCCCCACCCCCGAAAGGCACATATATTTATCAACTTATTCATTTTTTTCCCTAAGGTCAAAAACACGCCGAAGCTTCCATTGGAGGAAAGTCTAAAGTTTTGCAACCATTTCTTAACTGGGGGAAACTGAGCAGCTTAGGGAATAAAGTGGATAGTTTCTCTTCCTCTCTGTGGTAGCAATATTCTGATTCAAATGGAAACCCTGCTGAAATCTTTCCTTTGTCCAGTGCCGACACAAAACTAGAAAAATGTACAGATGTTCAAAAGGCAGTGATGGCTCAACCAGAACTCCTCTGCCCCATTTTCAATGGCAACATTGGCCATGATGACCCAGGCGCCACTTCAACCCTGCTAAAAGTTGAAAAAGTTACAGACTCTTCGGCAAGAGTCATCCTGGCCTCTGTCCTGCACAACTGCACACATACACACAAACACACACGCACAATGCCCCGACTCCCATACCAAAATGGAACTAGACCCCCCCACACACTCCCAAATAGTTTAAGAAAAGCAATGCTGGTGTCTTAAGAACTGTAATGTTGCGGTTGCGCCGAATGTGTTGGGTACAAGTCACGATGGCATCCGAACAGGGATGTGCACAAAGGATGCAGCCTATCTAACTCTTAATTTAGCATCTAAACTCCTATTCGGGGTGTAGCTCTTATTCGGCAACTTGACGTCATCATGGCTTGTACCGGACACGTCTATTGGTTTGCCCATTTCAAGAGCTGTTGAGGTTGGTCTTATGGACTTGCAGCTGGAGACCATAAAGGTGAAGCCGTTCTAGCAGGGCTTCCGGTGGTATAAGAGATGGAGAGCGTGAAAAGGAACTGCATAGCACCCTTGTGGTCGTCTTTTAAGCTTGTATTGCAAAGATTACTCCAACGATGCTTCAGTTTCGCATAGCACTTATTTTTGGAAACAGCTGTGGCTTGCTTCTGCTCTTCCCCCACCCCCCTGGCTGGGAATTGTCTTTCATGGAATTTGTCTTTCCACCCAAGGACAAGACATCTGCTCTGTTCTCCAATGAAAGACCAGGTCCCCAAAACGCTGGCAGCTTTGCCCATCTGTTACGTCTCCAGTCAAGGCATTTGATGCACTTATGATCCACTTGGTATCCCCATTTCTCATTCCAGATTGGTCTTTACACTTTCTCCCCTTGCCTTGGTTCATCTGCTTTGGAGCCAAGGACGAATTGTCTTCTTCCTCCGGAGAAGCTCCTGGAACGTCATGATAAGATATTGAGAGAGCGGTGGACTCGGTTTTGCGTAGACTTCCCGAAACATCTTCGTATGGATATATTACACGTTTCATAAAAGATCTTCCTTCCAAAAGGACCTTTGGGTTAACCAACCACCTTTCCAACCACTATAAAACAGACTCCATGTTTTCACACCACTCGTGGTCTTCAAGGTTGTAGATAAATTTTGTCCTGTGAGAGGGATTCGGGCCAAGGGGGTCTCGTCCAAGGTTGTCCAGGGTTACCGTGGAGGCAAAGAACTCAGTGGTGCTGAGCCCGCCTTCATGGTTCTTGATGTATTTCTTATAGTTTTTCCTCAGGCACTGCCAGGTTGTGGTGTAAAGGAGGAACGCAAGTGACTTCAGGGTAATAGCGATGCTCACATACAGGTACCTATAGACAACGTTGTCATAGAGGGCACATGCTCCTTGTTCGCCACAGAAGGTGCTCCAGAAAAGGCAGGTGGAATCAATTCCTGCTCCAAAGATCAGGGGCGGTGGGATGAAGCCTGTGAAGATAGAAGGAGATTTTTTTTATATATCGGTAATATTCTCTGAGACATCTAGACCAGTGATGGCTAAACTTTTGGTCATCACGCACCAAAAGCATGTGCGCACCAATGCGCCAGCGCACCCGTACCCATAATGCAATGTGTGCACACAGACCCTGTCCCATCATGCATGTGTGCATGACTCCCCATACGTGCCCCACCCTGTATATGTATGCATGATTTCCCACCCCCCCGTTCCTTCATCTCCACGCATGCACCCCCCGCCCATTTTTGCTTCCAGGTTGGTACAGGAGGCTTTCCACGCCCAAACCTGGGGTTCAGGGGTGCCGTGCGAAGCCACAAAATGCAATGCAAGCACCCCATACACACATCCACCCTGCCCACCCGTGCATGTGAACGAGCATCCCCCCGCATGCATCCCCCCCATGCATCCACGGCAGAGACCCGAAGACCAGCTGGCCAGCAGGAGGCGCACATGCATGTGGGTGAAGCTGGGCTGGAGCACGGGTCTGCATGCCACCTGTGGCATGCTTGGCACAGGTTCGCCATCATGGATCTAGACTCTCTACAAACATAAGAGGAACATCTGCTGGATCAAAGATCTCTGTAGTCCACCGTTCTGTTGTCCTAGAAGCCAAAGAGATGGCTTCCAGAAGTCCACAAGGAGGACTTCAATGCAGAAACATCTCACTCTTATTCTCCAGCAAGTGATGTTAAGAGGGTGGTCACCCCTGAAAACTAAGAGCAGTGATGCTGTTCTGGAAATATTGATGATATACTCCTGTTGAAATCAAGTTCCTATAGATCTGACCAGGGAAAGGTATAGATAGTTATAGACTTAGTATCTGAATCTGTACAATGTGAAATTTGGCTAGTGGTTAAGTTTGGTTAGTTTTCTATAGTGTAATGTGTTGTGAGAATGTAATATGTTGATTAGTTTATAGTTCAGCCTATTGTGCAAATCCAGAAAATTCGGAATAGGTTCAGAGAATTCAGGTGCATGAGCTGACATCATATTCATACAGGATTGATTTCTAAAGGACTTGCCCCAAGGGGAAGGACCAACCTCTGCAGAAACGACCCACTTGTGATACAACACAAAACATTTGGAGGACCCTCAGGGGAAGAAGGCTGCTTATGTCTCCAACGGGACCTAATCTGGGTTCACCATCCAGGCCCATCTCTCGTCAGGAATTCCTGCTTCTCTGGAGAAGTGGAGGGGAGCAAAAGGAAGCATACTGTATATTTCACTCACCTAACAATCGGAGGAGAAGGAAGAGAACTCCTAAAGCGTAGGATTTGAGCTCCGGGCTCACAGTTCTGTATGGAAGAGATATTCAAGCAAATATCATTAAAATGATAGGTAGGTAGGTAGGTAGGTAGGTAGGTAGGTAGGTAGGTAGGTAGGTGGGTGGGTGGGTGG